TTCCTTAGTTTAAATAACAACTCATAGGATTTCGATATAGTTTGTCTAGCGCAGCGTAAACCCTCATATATTATCATATATTATCTTTATGATAGTTGAGAAATCACTAGGATTTTCCCCTGGATCTGTGATATCCCCTACTCTTCATTCCTTTGGATTCCTTAAAATAACTGTTCCTGTTTGAGTCACTCCCATTTGATTTTTCCATGTCCAATCGTGGAAACTTAAACTTTGAAATCTTAAAGGCAGAACCACTGATCATAATCGAGAGTTTTCTTAAGAGACCCCGGTCATTTAAGATGTAATTAACTATAAGGGTTTGCCTCTATAGGGAATTTGGAATCCAGGTAAAATAAACCATATATAATTTTTATATTGGGTAGGAGAACTTGTTGGTCTCATATAAAATATTTCGCAGACCAAACGGATGTCACAAATTCTTTAGTTTAGGTGGTTGAGCCTACTACAAGTGATATTTTTATTTTTCGGGATAAGTGTATTACTTGTGGTATTGTGCTCAGTCATCCAGACTATCCAAAATGTGAGACTCGTTTGGTCTCATCTATTTTTAAATTAAAATGTTATATTCAAAAATCATATTTACATCAAAACTATTTTCATATTTTACAAAAATCATTCATTTCTTTTCAAAAAAAATTAAAACGGCCGACATTTATAAAAGTGTCAGTATAATCTACTGATTATTTTTTAATATAAATTAAAATATTCTAGGTGAGAACAATTTTGGCCCACATTAAAAAAGTTTGTGCTATTTTGGCCCGTGAACATCGTGAAGAGACTATTTTGACAGTTTGCTCAATTTAGAATTTAAACTTACAGTTTCATCATTTAGAGATTTTATTTTTTTTCGAGCAGAGTGAGCGCTCGAATCCCACCCTTCAAATTTTTCACTTTGTTTCCAACTAATATGCTACAAATTCAAGCAAAAATCGAAATTTATATATGCATGATATAAAATATCTATTATTTATTATGTAAATTTTTCATGAAATAGACTTAGAATTCAAAGATATATTGGAATAAAATTCTAAATTGAATGCATCAAAAACCAAAACAATTAGAAGAAAGTAACCTGCATCATTTATTAATTATCAATAATTATAAAATTGCAAAATACAAGCTTATAATGTGTGTGTGTGTGTGTACTAATTGCAAAATACAAGCTTATAATGTGTGTGTGTGTACCAATAAAACTTTTCATAACTATTTCTGAAAATGGAAAATACTTAAATTTTAAACACAACTAAAAATGAATTTGTAAATAGACAAAATCAAATCAAAGCAATCAAAATCATTGAAATAAACTACTTAACCTTTATTAATTTATCAATAGTATTACTTGTTTTTTCAAATTGCATGCTTATAATTTAGAACATAAGCTGAAAAATGTAGCAAATGCATAAAATGCAAATGTATTTCTGAATAAAACAAAATATAAATATTAACTATTTAAAGTCTATGAATGCTCTAGGTGGATTCTATGTTAGTAGAAACTAGACTATCAAGTACCACTTTGATAGCACAAAAAAAAGTTAATAAACATGATTTACTCCTAGTGGAGTGTCAAGTACCTACTTAATATTACCAAAGATGAAGGTCGTAAGCAAATAATATTAAAGAGAGCTTACAACTCTTATCTTTTCTTCTTTGTCAGATATGCAGGGTAAAATTGCTCCAAGAATATCAGCATAATATGGAACAAGCTGGTCTCCACCAAATTTTAAAAACTCATTTATCTGCAAAATCAACAAATGCAGTGTTAATGACAAACTACATCATAGTCCAAGCGGCAAAGAAAATTAACGGGTATTAAACCATAACTCATATGACAAAGAATAACTTCATTCATCCTTACCCATGTGATAGAGGTTTGCCGGGTAAATTCATCAGAAGAAGTTGCCCTTTTAACCAAAATTTCAGCCACACGACCAAAATCTACATTCTTCGGAACAGTTTTTTAATCAGGAAAGCCATAAGCAAGTATATGGGTTTCACTTCATACCAAAAACAATGTAGATAACTCATAAAAAAATTAAACAAAAAGAAGCCAGAAAAAAAAAATGAGATGCATCTAATTCAAGAAAAATATTTAGCTAACAATTGAATTATTAATTAAAATTACTTACCTTAGGGTTCTTCATTTCTTGTAGAAATCCTGAAAGTAGAGAGTCAGCTTGCTGCCGTATTTCATGGCTAGAATCACTTAGCATATTGAACAAACCTGTAACAATTAAAATTAAACTATTAAGATGCATACTCTAAATAAGAAGCAAAAGTCTACCAAAATAAGTCTACTTCAGAAATACTACCATCAAGAAAATCTGGAAGGAATCTAAGCAAGTCAATCTCTGGAAAATTATCCAATACAGTGATCCAACTCACCAAAAATTGTCGAACATAAGGGTTTATCACATTCAAGCGTTCCCGTAACAAAGGTATAAATTCTTCTATGCTTTAAAATTTATAAGAAGAAAGAGAGAAAAATAAAATTAGATTATTTTCAATGGGAATATGAAACCACATGTAGAAATTTAAGCAAATGATATAAGATTCTGCACCTGAATTGATAACTTTCAGTTACAATATCCTGCTCAATACTTGAATGTTAGTAATTTCACCAAAAAAAAGTAAAAGCAGTACGAGCCAGAATTACAGAATTCCCTCTTCAGATAAGTAAAAGAACTAATCTCATAAATTTACCTTTATGAGCCGATCTAGAAGATGAGCAGCACTTTGTACATTGGCGTCTGAGTCTGCTGAGAGCTTACAAAGTGCATCAAAAATCTGATTGAAATATACAATAAAATCTCCTCTAACCACCTTCAAAAAAACAAGAAAGCACTTATATTTTGTATTACATGAAAGATTAAATAGACAATTATTATCATCAGCAGTCGTAAGATCCAAACTATTTCAAGTAATCATTATGAATAGACACTCTCACTTATTTCCAACTAAGGCTGCATAAGATGTTAACTCTGCATTGCGCAATTATTTTTGCACAACTTGTAGCTATATTAGGTATGGTCCTCCCATTTTCCTTCCTAATCATTCCACGTTAACTCTATTTACCTGTATTTGGAGAGCATTTTACCCTTCTATTGTACATGTCCAATCATCTAGATCAATATACTGCAAGCTTACCATAACTATATGCCAGTTGTTGATCCCACTATTCTTCAAATCTAAACATTTCCTAATCTATAGTTTCTAATGTTTTTCACACATTCATCTTAAAATTTCTCATTTCTCACATTTGACCTTGCTGCTTGAGACTTCTTTATCGCCAAACACTATTTGTCGGTTTATGAACCTTCCATTAACTCCCCATTTTAAAAAATCAGTATTAATTTTAAAAGTTATATTTCATGTACATTTCTATTCTTCTGTTAAATAGATGCAAGATAATTAAACATTTCACACTAAAAAATCACACCATCTTCCAAAAATATCAATTGATAACCATAAAATGCATGTATAATGCAATAAAAAAAATTGGCAAACGCACCTTTGCTATGTTGTATAATGCTTCACAAGCATAAAATCGAACACTATTGTCATGGTCAAGAAAAGAATTGATCACTGGTGGTCCAATTTGCTGAATGCACAAAAATACCGATATATTAATAAAGAAAAAAGTTTACAGAGACAAGCAACTCTTCTATAAAATGAAATAATGATATCCTTGGAATATTAGTAGCATAACTTACAATCAGAAACTAGATAACGTGGAAAGAGAAGCACTATGAAAGTGGCATGCAAACATAATACTTGTCAACAGAATCGATGCATATTTATTTATCAAAGTAATGCAGCAATTATGATAATAAAAGTAAATCATCTCGGCATAGATGTATTGATTTTTCAAAAATGAAGTTCATTTTCAATCGGCTTTAGTTGGCACGTATTGTAATAAAGCTGATTGAAAATAAAAAAGGACTTAAGAAATTCACCAATATTCAAGAAAAAAAAATGAGTCCAAACAAAATATTAGAAGAATACCGGTGATAGCTTAAAAAAAGGGAATAAGGATAACGGAACACTATAAAGATAACAATCAGAAAAGGAGAAAAATCGGAAAAGTTGGACATTTACTGAAGTTCAATCACAATGAACTAAGAGGACAATGATAACACAAAATCATGGCCACAATAGACAACACACTAAAATGTGCATTAGTCTCAAACAGAAAAACCTTAAACTACGAAATTCAAACAATTATCAGTTAAGAACAAGATTGTAACACCTCAAAAATTTGTACCCGACTAAGGATGGTTTCATTCGCAGAATTTAAATAGAAGATGGAGACAACGGTGAATCAAGTGAAAGGGACAACAAACGAGGGAGAAAGCAAGAGAAGTAGAGAATGGGCAAAACCGAACAGTTCAAAGAATATACAGGAGTTAGGACATGAGCTTGACTGAAGTCCTCAAAGGGGGGTGATCACCAATGCAGTCTCGTGCGTGAAGCCAGTAGTCGAAAAGAAAGAAGACGGGGGAGCTAATGAGCGAGCAAGAAGAGACGGCAAAGGCCGCGAGCAATTGTCATCATGAAATAAGCTAAGTCTAGCAAGCGAGGGAGCGTAGGACTTGTTATGCAATTGTAAGAGAGCCATCGAGTCGTACTCTTATGTCAGGATCAAGAGTTGGTGAAGAGACAAGATGGAGGGAAATCGCGCCAAGTTGCATTCAATACAGATGGAGAGGACGTGAATTGTGTACTTGAGTAGCCATGAGCATGTTGATTATTGGGGAGAAACAAACGGAGGCAAGGGGCCAAAGCAGAGGAAACGATAACAATGATCAAGCAAGGGAGCAAGATAAAGGGATCGTCAAGTGGTATGTACGTGTATTTTTGACATGCTCTTCCCCTCCTTGTCTTTTACCCTTCTTTCCTTTTTCTTTCATTTCCTTCTTTTATTACTTTCCTTTCTAGGCTTTTTCTAATTTAAAACATTTCCTAAAACTGAAATTTGATTTTTATTCTTCTTCCTAATTTAAAATTTTTCCTAAAAACTGAAATTTGATTTTTATTCTCCATCCTAATTTAAATCATTTCCTCAAATCTGAAATCTGAATTTATTCTCCTTCTTATTTTAGTATTTCCTAATATAGGTGTCTCTTTATAAATAGGAGATTGGATTTTGAAATTGGGGTTGTTTTTATAAAATCTGAATTCAGTTTTGTATGAGTGCTTTCCCTCTTGTGGGTTGTATCTGACGTCAATGTAGTTCTCTGGCTGTCCCTTGTGCGAGGTGATGATCGTCTCTAAGGGTTTGAGTGGTGCTCCGACTGTAGATTGACCCCGATGAGGCATATATCTTACTATACGTCTGTTTTTCTGTTGTTCCATCACTTCAGCCACCGCCGCTCCTTCCCTTCCGTTGTCCATCACCTTCTTGCTCTAGTTCAGCCACCGCATCTCCTCCAACTTGTTGTTCAGCCCTTCCCGGCAACCCTTCGGTACTCCTACAGCAGTTACCTTATTATCCCTACTTTTCCCATCGCTGTCAATGCTTCCCAGCTCGCTGTCCACCCTAGTTGGCAAACCTTCCTAGCTTTTGTCCTACTTCTCCCACGGCAACCCCGACTTCTCCGGCCTTCACCGCAGCCGCAAATCCAGCCTCCAACGATGTTCTTGCATCTCTCTAGCTGTGGTTCGATGTTGTTACTATTGTAAACCTACTATCCTACTTCTTCCATAGCAGCCCCCACCTCTCTGGCCTTCACTGCAGCCGCCAATCCAGCCTCCCTTCGTCGGACTCCCTCCTCACCAAGCATGTTGTCTTCTTTGTTGGGTTATCATAATCCTTTGTTTTGTGTTTTTGTTTTGTGTATTGTCTTTCGTTATTTCAAGTCTTTATTGTAACATTGTTTTAAGTCAATAGTAAAATTGTGTCTTGCGTCGCGGTTTAGGTTAACTCCGGTATCAATTTTTTAATCCTCTATTTCTATTAGTTCTTTAAAATCTTTAGTTATAAAAAAAAATAATAATAATGATAATAATAATGTTGAGAATTTTATGAAAAATCTTTGATTTTAAAAATAAGGAAGTTTGAATTTTTTTATAAAACTATAAAATTGAAATTCAAATAATAATATAATTATGATTTTAAAATATTACTAATAATGTTAATTATAATATTATTATTATTATGACAAAAGATGAAAAAAAAGTGAAAGATTCATTTGTGAACTTAAGTAATTATTTAAAGTTAAAATTAATTAAATCTAGAATAAAATTTAATGCAAATTGTATATATTGATTAAGTTATAATTTTAGTAGTCAAATACTTAGAACAAATGATTTAAACAAACAATTAAAATAACATAATTAATTGAGAGATTAGTTAACTATAATTAAAAATGTTTAAATTATATTTTTTTATGAAATTATAGGTGTCGATTTATAGAAGACAGAATTTAAGGGTGCATCAAGGTTGAAATAACCCAACAAAGTTTAAGAGTACTATGTGTATTAAAAAGTTAAAATATTATATCTTGAAAAGTAATTTAAAGAAAAAATGTGTATTAAAAAGTTAAAAGATTACGCATTGAATGGAAAAGCAAAAGTTAAAGCATATAAAAATTTTATATTTCTTTCAAGGAAAATGTCATGAAAACATGATTTAAATTATTACATAATTTTTTATAATTTATTAGAAAATATCAGCATGTATTTTGTTTTTGTTTTTTTTCGTTGAGTTGTTATAGTTTAAAAATATAATTACTCCACTGAGTTATCTTGGATAACTTATCATATTGCTTTAACATTTCTTGGGTTTAAGCATTTGAATAGAAGCTGAGCATTGGAAGAGAGAATAAGTATAGAAGACAAGGTTAGCAAACAAAAAGATAAAGTTATTATTTATTAAGTTTAGGGTTTGTTTAGGGCAGCTATAGCTTATTGAATAATCTGTTGATAATCTAGTTGCAGTGGTTATTACAAATTTTTATTTTTTTGAAAAAGTTAGACCATTGCCAATAAGCTGTCACCGAACCTAGATAGGTGTAGTGTGAAAAAGTTAAGTTAGACCATTGCCAATAAGCTGTCACCGAACCTAAATAGGTGTAGTGTGAAAAAGTTATTTTATGCGTTTTGAAAACGCATAAGCTGTCAAAACGCAGTTGCCCAAACAGACCAGGTGTGTTTTCAAAACGCCACCGCACCAAATAAGCTGCCCCAAATGGGCTCTTAATTATTTTTAGTGGTTCTCTTATTTTGTGTGAATTGTAATTTGTTAGTGATAGAAAAGAAAAATAAAAAATTTTAGTCTCATCGTCATACCATCTGTCCCCGTCTTTAAAATTTCAAACTCCTGGGCCGAGTCGTGAGATAGATAAACTCAATTTCATTATAAAATTTAACTCATTTTTTTAGTAGATTTTGTTAACCTTTTGAAAATATAGAACCACATAACTAAAAAGAAAATGGTAAAATTAGATAAACTCAATTTCATTATAAAATTTAACTCATGTTTTTAGCAGATTTTGTTAACCTTTTGAAAATATAGAACCGCATAACTAAAAAGAAAATGGTAAAATATAATGTAATGAAAAAGAAAAATATTAGCTATTTTTTGAAAAACAACAATAATATGAACTCTTCATAGGTCACATTCTTTAGATACATTTTCCATATTTTTGGGAGATGTTTTCTTCAGGATCCTGAAAACACATTTATTTCTGTTTTGCCATGGTTATTCAATGACATGGTAAAGTATTAAGGTTTAACAGTGAACGCTTAAAAGCGGAACAAAGATCGAAGAAACTTGCTTTATTACTAAGCCCTTCTTATATAAAGAAGTTATAAAAAGAAAGTAAGCATGGGCATGCATATGTCTCAGATTTCCAGTATTTGTGCAATATTTACCACTAGATGGGCTGATAGAGATTTTGTCACTCGCATCTCAAACATCAAGGAATGGTTCGCACACTTGCATCCCTTTCTATTTCTAAGAGAGTGAGAACACGACTTTTCCGGAAGACCCACCACAAAATGTAATACTTTCATGCTATATATTTAACCATCAAGACTTCCTAAACATTAAATTTCTGTGAAGTTCTCTTCTTATTTTTATGTTCTCAACTATTCTGTCCCTAAGTTCTCTCCCACATCAATTGCATTGATAATGGCATCTTCAAGAGACTCTTGATCCATCATACATATCAAATTTCCCCTTGGAGAAACTCATAAGTCTATAGAGCTAGAGTGCAATATCTAATATGTATAGACATCACATCCTAATCATGGCATCAAATGCCAGTAGCATCTCTGATTTTTCCGCGACTACCAGAGGGTTTACTTAGCAAAGATCATTTCTCAAATTGTTATATTTATTTTCTCCCAGATCTTGAGAGCTTTCAATATCTCTCAATTACATAATATTCCACGTGGTTCTCCTTCTTCCTTAGTGAACAAATGAGACTCGGTTAAATATAGCAGCAAGCAAATCCTCCTATGCATTTCCACCTTTCATGACGTACAATTTCATATAATTTTTTATTGGAGATTTTGATAACCAAAGCAAGGCCAAGTTGATAATTATTTATCAATTTTGTGAAAAGATCAATTCATAACTGAATGGGCTAGGGTTAGGAACATTGGATCAGTTGTATTAAAATATTGTGATGCAAATGACAACATAACTTCTAAAATTAATTAAAATTGCTAAAAATTGGTAAATCAATAGCGTTGTATCATAAGAAAATAGCAAAGAAACTAAAGAAGAACTTTAGGGAATTATAACAAAATGAGCCATATGCTAGATAGATCTGAGTGTTAGTGACCAAATATATCACTGGTCGCTTGGTTGATTGTGACATACATAGGAATGTAACTAGATGCTTGTATGATAAGTAGGGAAAACACAAAGAAAAAATTAGTTATGTTGAAAGAACAGTGAGAGTATCAATTATTGATGAAAAAGTAAGGAAAAATAGACTTAAATGTTTTGGGTGCGTATAAAGAGAGAGAGAAAAAAAGGTGTATCAATGACCATTAATAATAGTAAATTGAAAGGAATGATAGATGGAGGACAAACTAATAAAGCAAAGCCAAGGGTTGTGCAATAAGACTGTTGTAAACTAGAGTTAAAACAGTACTGAGCATCAAAAGAAGAATATCGAAGAGGAAAACCGAAAATAATATGATAAGGCTTGTAAAGACGATGATCCCATCATCATCAAAAAAGGGCGTATATGACAAACCTAAAGCAGGGAATTGTTATTTTTGTTCTACCCCATATTTCTCATGCAACATGCACAATAAGTCTTGAGGCAGATATTAATGGCAGAAAACTGTAGGAGAATTAGCATAAACAAACTCTTTATAATGCCTGGCAAACATGATAGGTAGAAAGAATGGCTAGCAAAGACAAAACAAATGAGCAAAATAGGAAAACACCAAATTCAACCATGTGCCCCACATAGCAGTATTTGTAGTCAGAAATCATAAATTCTCGGCGCTTGATATAAAAATGGAAACTAACAGTATAAATATAGCAATAACTTTCTATCCCTTCCACTGGCACTAAATTTCTTATAGAAGAACCCTTCCATGGGGCTAAAAAAAGTTCATAATTGTCATGTTCTTCTGCAGAAGTTTATTCTAAATACTGACCTCCAGATGCCGAGAAGCTTCTGAAGACAGACCTACCGTAGCTGCAGCTAACCCCAGTAAACCCCCCTGGCAAATTAAAAAAAGTGAAACGTTACATAAAAAAAAAATGAGCAGAAAAGAATACTAAACATATTTTAAAACATAAAACAGATATGAACTCAACAAGAAAAAGCAACCATGACACCAACAAAACCACAATCACGCAAACCTTCCTATGGTTGGCCTGCGGAGAATACGTATATTCGAGGACTAGCAGGTTAAGTACAGCCTCTATCTTTTCATGCTCTCCCGCCTGAGCAAGTTGCTTTACGATGCCTTCGACCTGTGTTTTCCCACAATCCCAATCCCGGTCAGTAATCAGCAAATCTTTAATTAAAGAGAAAGAAAACCAACCGCGAACAGTATAAGAAGATCAAAGAACCTCAAGTGCTGCATTCTTGCGCTTCTCGTATAGCTTATCAGCAAGATTCCTTAAAACAGATGCCGGAAGTATGGACATCGCGTCGGCCATTCCACTGCCGATGCAGGAATCAATCACAAAACACTATCAGGAGATAGTATAACAAAAAGACGCATCCGTAGCTTCTCCTCCTCCAGAAGTAACATCAAGGCAGCGAAAATTCTCGATTAATATGTGAAAACAGCCCGGCTGACCACTGATCGGGGTTCCGACAGCAGCCACCGATGTCGGGGCTCCAATAAGCAATCTGCAAAGAAAACCCTAGATAACAAATCGTCGGCGATGGTGGAAAGACCTCTGGCATCGGCCACCCTTCCCCGTCGAGGCGAGTTATCAGCGTTTCCGTTTGATCCGGGCAGGCAGTTTCTTACCCCCGGGTGTGGAAGCTGGTACGAAGCGGAGCACACAGCTAATTAAATGATCTGTATTTATTTTTTACTTTAAAAAATAGTGTTCAATTAATAATTAAAATAAGTAAATAATAATTTTATTTTACAAAAATTTACATACCCACAGTAACCAACTCTTATGCATTTAACTAGCTCAAGTTAGCTGTTTGATTTGTAAAAATAAGAATTTGCGTGTGAAATAGATAAATGTATAAGATTTGAGTATTATGAGTGTAAATTACATTTTATTTTATTCGATTAATAAAATTTATATTTTTAATTCAACAAAAATATAAGTATAACTTCTACTAAAAATAATAAATAAATAAAACCGACTATAAGGCCAAACAACATAAACTCAAATAAATTGTAATTAACGGCATGATGTGTTATCAATAATTATTTAAGATAAGACATCAGTCTCGATGTATTTTTTAATGACAAATCTTTCAAATTCAGATTAATAATCATTCAAGTTCTGATTATATCAAAATTATAATCAAAAAAAGCATCTCGACAAAACAAAGTCGATAACACTAAAAATGATTCAATATGGGTACAATAGGCCTAGATCAAGTCATTGAAACACAATTTGAGGTTTTTGATCATTAATTGAATGGACAGATGAACTTTAAATTTCACATCTTTAAAAGTTAATTGAGCATCTCTGCCTAAGGAATCCAATGAGTCTAAGATTACTTAATTTTAATGTTTTTAAAGCACCCAATTCCTTAAATAACTATCTATGATCAGAAGTGATTAGCAACGACAGTCTGATTAGGTAGTTAAGAAAACTATGTGCCAAAAAACCATGATGTCTCTCTCAAAAAAAAAAAAAAAACTATAAATAAGCTATTGTCTTCACTTGGGGGAGGATAAGAAAAGAACGAGAAGTGAAATTTTAAATCATGTTCTCAGGAGAAGACCTAACAAGTAACCACCGGCCTTTGTAACCACCAGCTACCGTCAACCACCAATTTTCTTAGTTGTTGACCATTATTGATAATTGCTTGTCATCATCACCTATCACTGCCAACCACTGGCTATTGATGGTCACTGCTATCAACCGTTGTAGTCAAACTACAATTGTTGTTGAATTTTCTAACACTTAAAATTTTCTTAGCTATATAAACATAAGTATAGTTTTAATTATAACATTGTAACATTGTTTTCCCTCCCATGAGAAAAGAGAGTACCTATCTACTTACAAACATCCGGTGCATTATTTTGACTGAACAAGGTCTCATGATTTTTTTATTTTTTTCTTATTTAGTTTTTCTACAAAAAAATCTTGTGTCTCCCTTCACTATTCTTCGTTATATACACGTGTTTAATTTTTGTATAACTTTTGGCACTACGACATTCTATCACATAACTTGATTGATAGATGAAAAATATCAAAAGTAAATGTATTATGGAGTAAGCTTCTCCTGTAGTGATAGTCTACTAAACAACCGTGGAGAACCTAAACAACATGCATATCAAAAATTTGAGACATCTAGTATGAATAATTAAAACATTTGATATACTACATATACCCGCAAAAAATCAATGCCTTCAATTGCAATAATATTGCAATCATGAAAAAGTATGGATTTCTAAACAACACAAACTTAAACATATGCTTATTATCATGAATATGAGTGATTTAAAGCCACACACTTCTATGCATATATTTGCAAGTATAATCTCAAGTGTACATATATGTATTTACTACTCATCAATCATTTATCTATTCCTCATAATAATTTTATATGAAAATGTACTTATGTACTTATGTATGTGTGCGTGAGAGAGTGCATACATGCTTGTAATTAGTTAGTTTTCTACAACACCTTCAATGGTAAAGAGAAGCATCAATCTCTTGGAAATTTAACCATTTATTTGAGGATCGGTCAGTTCGGCTAGCTATCAATAAATGACATAATACTAACATAATATTATTATAATATTATATGTATTTCTCATCTCATAGTATTATACATTTATTTAATGTTATGTCCAACAATAATATGTATAAATATGGCCAACAACTAGATCAGCATCTTAATCCAATTGAAGAACTCATGTGTGGTAAGGGGGTGCTGAGGAAGTATTCTTTGCAGTGAAAATTGCCTCCCAGTCTTTATCGAATATTTTATGTTTAAATGAGTAGTAGAATGATTAACCTACCACATACATGCCCAAAACGTTCACGTGAATGACTTTCAGTGACTGCAATGAAGGTTTCCCCACACCCTTAAGTCTTAAAGTTTATGGCTAAATAAGATGTGGGAAGACTATCCCACCACAATCGTGCTCCCGACCTTAATGTGTATGATCTTTAAATATTGAAGCGAAGGTTACCCCCACATCGAAAAATATAGTAAAAGTTATGATGAAACATTAATGGGAAGAATTAAACATGATGCGTTAGTTAGAACTTTAATCAAATCAATAAAACATGCAAAATGTTATAAGTGTAATTAGCAAATGGTTGGTGGGTGATATTGTTTTGAGTTACTTAACTCACTCATTGAAACCTCCCACTACAATTTGATTGAATTTGTATGACACTTTTCATTAAAATTAATCAAATTGATAAAGTCACAAATTTATTCTAAGTCAACATTAAAATAAAAGTCAATTAAATAAAATTGTTGAAATTTAAGAATTAACTTGAATCAAATAAGTGAAGACTACATTAATAGATATATAGTGAATTTTAATAGTTTTGAAAGTAGTTTATGATAACTTTGTTATTTTCTTGAAATTGCAAAATTACATTCATTATTTTAGGAACTTCAAAATGAACAATATAAAATTTAAATCACTAAAATTTAAAATGAAACTCTTAAATGAAACATAGAAAACAAAAAACTGCAAAAATTTATAAATTCTAAGATAGTTTTGAGGTAGAATTGTAAGTATTTTTGAATTTACAAAAATACCTCGATTACCTTTTCACTCACTAAATGAAAGAAATATAAAAAATAAAACCCAACAAATTGAACCAAACTGTTAATCATCTGAAGATACAAATTTTAAAAAAAATATTTTCAATCGAGATAGATGTGGTTGAGGTATAAATAAGGTATTTACAAATATATCTTTCTTAGTAAAATTTGAATAACTTTCTTTATAGAACTCTAGATTGAATGAAGTCTTCACTCATAGGCTAATTGAATTCAAAGAAGTAAAAAAAACAAAACAAAAACAACATTCTTTTTTTTATTTTTTATTTTAAATTATTTTATATTAATAAGCCTATTAATAAGTTTAATAATTCATAAAATAACTAAATGTACTTGAAATGACTTAAAAAATTAGGAGATTGTTTGGAATCATATTGCAAACATTTCAGTGAAATTTCAAGTGTTTTTCGAGATCATTTAAATTTATTTTGAATTTTTGAATAAATTTATCTTTAAAAGTAAAATAATTTTAATAAATAAAATAAGATGCCAAATTAACAAAATTATAACATGAAGTTTTTGAGCTCAATATACATTCATGAAAAATATTTTTACATCATTTTAAATTCATTTATGTCAAAACATCTAAAACCCTAAAATTTACAATATTTTCAACAAAATAATTCATAAAAATTCACAAAACAACTAAAGTTTCTTAAGAAAAAATAATTATGGAGTTTATATGAACCATTTCACATTTCCAGGTGATTTATGGGATCTTATAAATTCTAATAATAATAAACCTTGATATATGTCTTCAAAAAGCATATAAATATGTTTAATTAAAAAAATAAATAATAATAATGCAATAATAACAATAAAATAATAATAATAATAATTAATTCTTTGGGTTTACAAAGGCTTATTGGACGACACAACTCATGTTGCTAACAAAAGTCTTTTGGTTTGAGCAAGTTTAACTACCTCCTTCGGCTAAGTAAATCCAAAACAAAGAACAATATTGCGATGACGGAACCCTAGAATATTGATTGGTATTGTATAAAATAAAATTTAATTAGTTTTGGTTAACCATTTTAATAATCGCTTCTATCATGATTAACACTGACCAAATTTTGTTTTACAATGCTACTATAAGTAAATAATTACAACATAGGACATACCTTTCAATGCATGGTCTTTCTTAATTCTTGAGTCATTTTCTTTATAGAATTAGGATGTGTTGTTATTAGTCAACTATCAACATTTGAGATATTCAATAGAAGACAAAAAACGAAGTGAAGGAAGAACAACAAAACCATCAACGTTATATCATATGATGTTAATTAACAGGTCCTAAACTTTTAAGATTCCAAAATTGTTCGTTTAATACGACGTAAATGATCACACCCTTTTAGGCTCTTGTATGATTTTATGTCATGTAATATAAGTCATAACCTTTTAGGATTCTGAGGTTATTTGTCTAGTACGACGTGAAGCCTCACACATTTCTAGACTTTCTTACGATCTTATATCGCGGGATTTAAGTCCTAAATTTTTAAATAAAATATAGGAAAAAAACATTAAAAATTTTTTTCTTTCAAAGATGTAAAGTCAAATAATAGGTTAGTTTGAAATGCCACCAAGGTTTCCTTGAAATCTTTGATATCTATTATTTTTCATTCCTTTGGGTTTCAAAAATAATTATTCCTCATTAAGTATTTCTCATTTAACTTTTCTATAATCAATCATGGAAACTAAAGTTTGAATTCTTGAAGAAATAACCACAATCTTAATCAAGAGTTTCTCAAAGGTTTGTTTTCCTCTCTAGAACCTAGGATCTAGCCATATGACTTCCCTACTGACTCTCCTAGAGGATTAGTGTTGGGACTCACACTAGTTAGAAATCTCATCCACTTTTTGACTCCTTAAAGTCTCGTATGTTTTCCGCTCTAGCCTGCAGGTCATCTTGACTAGCTCCAGATCTGACATGTTGGTGATTCGCTCAACCTGTCAGCAACCCGCTGACTGGCCAACGACCTAATCCATTGCCAGCGACCAACCTGGCCTACAATTTCCCTTCATGCTGGCTCTCGTGCGCGTTGTCGCTGCCACCCATTATCCAC